ACACGACTGGTCATCCTTACAAGCATTAATCTCCAGGTAACAGTGGTGTAATGTGACTTTTCCCAAACACAGTTCACCTTTGAATACTATAAAAATAATTATAAGAGTTCATGTGTTTTTGGATCAAAATAAACAACAGAAAGTGGTGTCCTTTATGATGAAGTAAGTGCTGTAGGAAACCAACACTTATAGACTGTTCTGTAACCAAGCAAGGAAAGCAAGAAGTAGATAATAGATAACATTTTAAAAATAAAATATATATATAAAAATCATAATGAAAGATATATGAGGTAGACCAGCAGTCACTGAGTGGACGACATGGTTCATGAGAAATACATCTCCTGCCCTGGGTTCCTGCCTCAGACACTCTCGCCTACAGCTGTCATCCTCAGGAATGGAGTTACACTCTCAGCTCTAAGTGGAGTTACACTCTCAGCTCTAAGTGGAGTTACACTCTCAGCTGCCACTTCCCACGAGTATGTTATTGCATAAAAATAAGAGCAATGAAAAAATATTGGTAGTATTTTTCTTAAATATATGTTAAATACATTCATTTTTTTAAGTGAGAAAGGCACACCTTCTTTATTTTTTGTTTTTATTGATTGCTTGATGTTAGCGAGAGAGAGAAATACCAATTTGTTGCTCCACTATTGAAGCATCATTGGCTGATTCTCGTGTGTGTGTGACTGGGATCAAACCCGCAACCTTGGTGTATCGGGATGATGCTTTAACCAACTGAGCTACCTGGCCAGGGCTATCTATGTTAAATAAATTTAAACAAGAAATACCATCAGAATTTTTTTTTTAGAACCCTCTCACAGGACAGCGGTGCATTATCGCAAGTTGAGAAAGGCATGGCCGTGCGGAGCTGGATTTGCATTCCAGACACACCATTTACAGGCTCCTTGATCTTTGTCAAACATTTCTTCCAAAATATCAGAGTTTTGTGGGAAATTCAATTAGATAATGCTGTTAAGACACGTGATACTTGTGGAGTTACATCATACATGTGTTTTTTGTGGAAATCAGCCGTCGTGGTCGCCTCACATGCGGCGGGGCTGGCGGCACCTCGCTGCGGCTGTTGTAGACGTGGCCCCGGAACGCGGCGGCTGTCTCCGCGATGCGCCCGAGGAGAGAAGCTACGTGCCGGGGGCGCACCGGCGCGCTAGGCTTACTCAGCGATGGCAGATGCGTATTCGGTCGTATTTCCAAAACACAAAAGCTGTCTTTCGGGTGGTTTAGATTGGCCTTAGAACCTGCCCTCTGTCTTAGGAGTCAGTCGCTAGCCTTGAACAAATGTTTCCCCAATAGGGTAACTTGCAGTTTTCCGTTTATTTCATGAATTTGCTATAATACACTTGGCCGTGTGCTTAAACATTTAGTATCTTTTATAGAAGGCAGAGATGTAATACAGTTAACCCGTGAACAACACTGGTGTTAGGGCCACAGTCAAGAACCTGCATGTTACTCTGACTCCCCCAGAACTTAACTATGCATAGCCCGCTATTGACTGGAAGCCTTACCAGTAACATAAAGTCGATTAACATGTATTTTGTAAGTTATATGTATTACATACTGTATTCTTACAATAAAGTAAGCTAGACAAAAATGTTATTAAGAAGATCATAAGGAGAAAATATATTTTTCTCTGTAATTACTTTTCTCTATATTTATTGGAAAAAAAAATCCACATATCAGTGGACCTGCGCAATTCAAACCCGTGGTTAGGGGTAAACTGTACTTCATCTGTTGCTGGGGTTGTTACTGATTGATCCTAAGTAATTCTAGGATAGGCTGATGCAATGAATGTCAAGCCTGTTTATGATTAAAGTACTAGTAACTGTTTTCTATGGTTCTTCAGTGCAGGCTTTCTTTTGTGAATCCATGCATTCGCGCGCACACGCACACACACTGTTACATAACATGGTTTGGCATTTAGACTAGCAGCTTTTCTGATCTACTTAACTTGCAGAGTTTTCTCATACTGACTCTTGTTGTTCCAGCCAGCAGACTAACTGTGTCTTTGGCTGTCTGGAGGCAGGAGGACTGGGAACTGGTTCGTGTAGCCTTGCAATTTTCTAATGGGGTCCGAACGAGTCTTCCAACTTATCATATAGTGTTTTGAATCACAGAAAAACTTGGATAATTGAAGGGAATACTTCAGCAGATATAGAATTTCCATTTTATTCTTACCAGAGAATGAAATGAAAATGAATTTTTAAAATGATCTTCCTTTGAGGAGGGGTGCCCTAAGTTTCTACAAGGCCCTTTGATATTTATTTATTTATTTTTTCAATTACATTTGATATTCAATATTATATTAATTTCAGGTATACAGCATAGTGGTTAGTCATAAACTTTACAAAGTGTTCCCCTGTTATTTCTAATACCCAACTGGCACTGTACATACCTATTACAATATTATTTACTATATTTCCTATGCTATTCTTTACATCCCCATATTTTGTAACTGCCAATCTATGCTTCTCAATCCCTTCACCTTTTTCACCCAACCCTCAACCCTCCTCCCTTCTTGCAACCATCAGTCTGTTCTCTGTGTCTATGAGCCTCTTTCTGTTTTGTTTATTCATTTGTACTATTCTTTAGATTCCACATATAAGTAAAATCATGTGGTATTTGTCTGTCTTTGGCTGGCTTCCTTTACTTAGCATAATACCCTCTAGTCCATCCATGCTGTTGTAAAGGGTAAAATTTTGTTCTTTTTTATGGCTGAGTAATAGTCCATTGTACACATGCACCACAGCTTTTTTATCTTCTTGTCTATTGATGGGCACTTGAGTTGCTTCTATAGCTTGGCTATTGTAAAAAACGCTGCTATGAACATAGGGGTGCATATATTCTTTCTAATTAGTGTTTTGGGTTTCTTTGGATATATTCCCAGAGGTGGAATCGCTGTGTCATAAGGAAGTTCCATTTTTCATTTTTTGAGGACCCCCCATACTGGCTTCCATAGTGGCTGCACCCGTCTGCATTCCCAGCAACAGGGCACGAAAGGTCCCCTTTTGTCCACACCCTCGCCAGCACTTGGTTTGTTTGTTGATTCTGAGAGGTGTGAGGTGGTATCTCTTTTAAAAATGGGCAAAGGACCTAAATAGGCACTTCTCCAGAGAGGACATAGAGATGGCCAGGAGACATGAAAAGATGCTCAGCATCACTGATCAGAGAGATGCAAATTAAAACCGCAGTGAGACAGCGAGTTATTTAAATGGATGAGTGGGAGGGTCTCCCACTTTGTTTCTGATCTTCCTAAGAGTGGCTGGGACAGAAATAGGAGATATTTTTTCTGCTCATACCTAACCTGATTTTATCTCTCTGTATATACGCCATCTGATTTTATTCTATGTAGCACAACAGGGAAAATACAAAATCAAGCCCATTTGATAAAAAAAATAATTTAAACCCACCCCCTACGAGTTTCTGAAATGCCTACTATTTTCTTCAAAAGACATCATCAGTTTACTGATTTTTATTTTCATTTTCATTCAGAAGGAGCTGTGGAGACAAGAGTGTAGAGCAGTGTAACATGTTTTAAGTTCTGTTTCATTTTAAATTCTTCTCTTCGTGTTTACAGATCAGCAGAAGAAAGCTTAGAGAATTAAGGACGAGTAAATTCAGTTGCAGAGGCTTATGAGTAGCTAGGTTAACTTTTAAAAGATCAATAGATAAATATTTTTAACTTCCAGCAGCCATATTAAAACACCCTGCCAGGAGGTCTTTTTGAGCCGTCCTCATAAGTTGTCATCGGCTTACACAACAGCTGTGGGAACTGATACAACGAAAAGAGCAGCGGTTTAGCTGGCCGGTGCGGCTCGGGCCGGGCGAGTCCATGCTCCAAGAGGCTGCTGGTTCTGTTCCCGGGTTTCGGGCTCAACCCCCAGCAGGGGGGCATGCAGGAGGCAGCCAGTTGATGTTTCTGTCTCTCCCTCTCCCTTCTTCTCTCTGTAAATTCACTAAAAAGATTTTTTAAAAAAGAAAAAAAAGAGCCGTGATTTAGAAATTAGAATGTTGGGAGATCATTCCCAGGGAGATTAAATGACAGGCTAACGTCCCCGGCATGAGGAAGCCATGCATGAGCCGACCGAATCAGATGCTGTCTTTGAAAGGTTTCTGTGAGTCTGCTCGAATTTAGAAACCACATTCAGAACCTGCCAGGGAAGTTTGGGTGGGAGCCGAGCGGCAGCGTTACTGCAGAGTACCCTTGCCATTCTCGCTCTCGGAGGGCAAACAGTGTAGGAGTCGGGATTCTGTTGTACATACAGACCATAGTCTGGTTGGTTTAAGTAGGAAGGTATTAAATGGCTTGCAGGGTGTTGGGAGGGCTGAAGAAACAGATTCTAGGAACAACTTCCCAGAGTCACAAGGCAGGACCGGGCGACCAGGGGAGCCGCCGCTGCGAACAGGAGCCTGCCGGCCCAGGTGGGGGGCGCCCTGCCTCTGCTGCCGTCCCGGCAGAGCGGACGCCCGCGCCCTGCCTCCCTCTCCCTGCGCAGGACCCACTCCAGGCCTGGCCGCGGCTTTCTGGATGATGGAACATATATCATATCTGGAATCCTAGTTGTAGGGAGTCCTGAGATGTCATCTTCCCAATCTTTTTACCCCAGATGGGCTTGGAACACACATTGACAAGCCAATTGACTGTCGTCCATGGACAGTAAGCTAAATATTTATGATGAATAACGTTTGTGGGGTTTTTTGGCAGTTTGCCAAGTAGACTCACATTCTTTTTATTTAGAACTAATGATGGTCTAAATATCAAAATACTTTTCTGGCCATTCCCAAGAAAACGTCTGTGATAAAAACTGAAAGCAACACCTACGTTATTTCCCAAAGATGCAAAGCTAATACCGAAAACAGGGTTTTGAATTTGGGATTCTCCTTCCAGATATGTGGGTTTTCTCCACCTTGGTTCTGTTTCCATACGCGTCTTTCCCCCATTGGACATCCTCCGCCTCTCCATTGATTTGCTCTTTACTGTGCAGACCTGTGCATGAAGAGCCCGAGCCTCCCGAGGTTGATGCTCCCGGCCGGTGGCATGGTGTCTACGTCAGCAGAGCCTCCCCAGCACCTTTGGAGCCTGCGACCACCGTTAAGTCCCTTATCAAGTCATTTGACTTGGGACGCCCAGGTATTTAATCATTTTGTTTTATAGGCAAACTCAGATTCACACCAGCGCCCCAAATATCAAGCCTGTCTTTACTCCACACTCACCCCAAATTGATGCAATCACAAGGGTTCTTTTAGATTATTCCACAGGAAGCCACTGTATACAAGAGACGTGCTACAGCCTGGCTGCAGCCCCAGTGAGACGATGATGGGCAGTCTTCTCTTCCCACCTCCTCCTTGTCTGCAATTTCTGCCTTGTCACCTTCTTTTCCTGCCTCTGTGTCCATTAAATTCAGGCCACTACTATTTTATTTGCCTTCTGCAGTCTGGTGAGAATTAGCAGGTCAGCCAGGCACTTCATGTCCTGGGAAATGCACTGAGTCCTTGCATTCAGCTCTCCTGTGGTGCCCCTGGCCCACCTCATCTTGCAACGTGCAGTTAGACTTTTCTGTACCTGGTCTTGTCTTACCTGTGATCCCCTGTGCTGATCTGTCATTCCTGGCCCTAGTACACTCCCACCTTTGTTGGAATGTCTGGCTGACTACACACATAAGTATAGTAAATAGAAAAAGCCGAGTGTGCATCTGTCCGAAATAACAATATATTCTTCACTTGACTCCAAATAGGCTTGTGGTACGGGAAGACCGGAGTAATAGCTAATCTTCGGTTGTTAACCTGGTTTTCTCTGATAAAATAGTTCACAGCCAAATTAGATTAAGATTAGGCTTCAGATATTGAAAGATGTGAAATCTCAGTGACTGCATTCAGTCTATGAAGATGGGAAATGAATTAATAGTGGTTTGTGCAAGAATTTTCCTGTTCCTTATTGCCGTAGGAGCGTTACATGTTTTTTCTTCCCTCGTGTGCCCTGTGTCTAAGACCAACCCCATTTAGTTAATTCCTCTCCTCTCTTTCCCCAATTCAGCACTAGTCCAGAGGAGAAAAGAGTATACTTTATAAACAGCATGGGATACTTTTGTAGTTGCCAGAAAAGTAACAAGTCAGGAACTGTTATTTGCAGTTCTGAATTTACCAACATAAAAATGTTCCCATCTCTTGCAGGTGGAGCTGGACAGAATATTTCTGTCCATAAGACCCCCAGAAGTCCCTTGAGTGGAATACCAGTGAGAACTACCCCAGCAGCTGCTGTTTCTCCAATGCAGGTATTAAAAGGATTGCGTGTGGGCAGTGGTCAGTGTCATGTGTATTATAACAGTGTCTTCTATACAAGCAACAAAAGCGAGTAAAAACTAATTGGTTTATTTTTAATAAGCCTAAAATAATAATAGTTTAACTTTCATTAAAATTTACACTTTTGGCTCAGCGGTTGAACACTGACTGACCTAGGATCTAGGAGATTGTGGTTCAATTCCAGGTCAGGGCACATGCCTGGGTTGTGGGCTCGATCCCCAGTAGGGGGTGTGTGGGAGGCAGCCGATCAATGACTCTCTCATCACTGATGTTTCTGTCTCTCTCCCTCTCTCTGAAATCAATAAAGACACATTTTTTAAAAAAATTTACACTTGTGATGCCTAATAAAGACCCAAGAGAGACAGTATACACTTCATACAATTTTGGTAACTTTTTTGTTTCCCATAACACTTTTGAAATTTTCAGTAAATGAAGATGGTAATTTTTACTAGGAATGAACATTGAACTAGCTGTTTTTCTCAAAGAATTGTTTTTTTAATGTCCTCAAAGAGAGAATGTTTGCAGTTTATAAATTCCTAAGAGTTCACTGGATGCAGCCTATCCCCTGTGCCGTCTCCTGAAGATTTTAGACCAAAGCTTCTTGGCATTTTCCAAGATGGGGCTTTTGATGTTATCAGTGGCATTCATCCCTCCGCTTTCCAGAGCTAAGGTTGATGCTCTTATTAACAGATTCTATTCTGTGGTGTCCTTAGTAGCTATGTATGTTGTTTGGGATTTGTTAAGCTCTTTTTTTTAACTTCTTTGCCCTTAAAGGTATCTTCTACCACCTTATATATAAAACCAAATAAAACAATTATTTACTTTATGATAATCAAATTTATTGAATAAAACTGAAACTGGTCATGCTTCATTTTTACTTATTTTTATTGAACTATAAATACTAATTTTCTGTAAATGTTTAACAGCTGACCCTTTGATAGGGGGCGGGAATCTAGATTTGCACTGTTTGCCAATTTCTGTGGTGTAAATATTACCATCATTGCCAAGAGAGAGAGAAGCCACCTGGGTGGAGAGAGGCGCTGGAGGAAGAGATTACAGATAGAGGAAGAGAGGGGCCCGGCCCCAAGCCCTCCCAGCCACTGCCCAGTGGGTCCTGTGAGCTAGGCCCTAGCTGAACTACCCTTGTCAGAGTCTGTAGCCAAGAAGAGTTATTACTGCCAAACCCTGCTCAAGTTGCAGAATTATGAGCAAATAAATAATTGTTTTTAACCCCACCACATTTTGTGGGGTTCTATGTTATGCAGCAGGACGTAATTGAAATAGTTTGTTTTAAATTTAAACAATACACATTGTTTACTTAAGGAAACTGGATAAATACCACTGTTTTTTAATCCATTCATCTGTTGATGGACATTCAGGTTGTTTTCACCTCTTGGCTCTGGTGAGTAATGCTACAATGAACCTGGCCATGCAGGTGTCTCTTCAAGGTCTTATTTTCAGTTTTTTTGAATATATACCCAGAAGTTGGATTCCTGGGTCATATGGTAGTGCTATTTTTTTAATCCTCTCTCAAGGATATGTTTGTTTATTTTTGGAGAGAGAAGAAGAGAGAGAGAGGGAGAAATCAATTGGTTGCCTAAGGATATGTTTATTGATTTGTAGAGAGAGGAGGAGAGAGAGAGAAATCAGTTGGTTGCCTCCCCTACACTCCCTGACCAGGGATCGACCCAGCAACCCAGGTATGTGCCCTGACTGGGAATTGCACCCGAAACCTTTTTGGTATACAGGACGATGCTCTGACCAGCTGAGCCACCTAGCTGGGGCTGGTAGTTCTACTTTTAATGGTTTGGAGAAACTACAGTTCTCCATGGTGGCTGCACTGTTTTGCATTCCCACCAGCAGTGCACCAGGGTTTCGGTTTTTCCACATCTTGTCTCCACTAGTTATTTTATGTTTTGTTTTGTTTTGTTTGTTGTTGTTTTGTAATGACCATGCTAACAGGTGTGAGGTGATATCTCATTGTAGTTTTGATTTGTATTTCCCTGATGATTAGTGATGTTGAGCATCTTTTCACATATCTGTTGGCCATTAAAACACAGTGTTTTTACACATATCCTTGAATAATACATAGAATACTCCAGGAAGATATCCACAGAGCTGATTAACAATAATTACCCTCACAGAGAAGAACTGGGTTATGGGAGTGAAAGGGGGGAGACCTCCGTTTAACTGTATGTCTTTTCTGGTCCTTTTGAGGATCATACCAATTGCATTTATTATCTATTCAAACTAATCAGTTGTTTTCAAAGCTCCCCTGGTGATGCTAGTGAGCTTGAGAACTGTTGTGCATACTGTGTGCACACGTCTTGGCTTGTGCTGTCCCTGATGTCACAGTTCACCTGTGCTGGTGCCCTTTGGTTTTTAGAGGCATTCAACTTACAGCGGTGTCCGGCCGGCCAGCAAAGGAGTAGCTCAGCGCTTGGATCTCCCAGACCTGCCCCTCTCAGGTAAATCATCTTCAATGTGGAAAGCTTTCACTTACTTTTTTGTGGGGTTAACTTTTGTTCTTTTCTTTGCATGAACTGAGCTTAAGAAAATAATTAGTGGCATTTATTCCCAACGGTTTCAAGCTCTAAGTGTGTGTGTCGTGAGCATGGTTAAAGCCTGTTTCCTGATAGTTGCACTTCTCCGAGGGCATGTGCCTGGGAGAAATGTCAGACTTTTGGGAGGTGGTTTTTGTGGTTTGTTTTTTACTGAATCTCAGGAGAGTATCTTTAAAAGTGTTTTAAGAAAAAATCTGATTCTGAAGGTCTGTTGCTTCCATAATTTCTAAAATACGCCTCTTATGAGATATTTTGGTCTTTGAGTATAACCCTCTTTCACATATTGTTAAAATTCCCACCTCGATGGGGAGGTGCTGGCTGTAACAAGTCCTCACAGTGTCCCATGTTCTCTCCTGCAATGCCTCCTGTGCTGAAGGCAAGTGTGGCGTAGCAGTTGGGGGGGACACAGGAGTGGGACTGCCTGGGTATAAGGCCTGGCACTGCCACCTGCAGTCCAGCTTCGGCCCAGTTATTCCACCTTGTACTGTGGTTCCCTCATCTCTAAAGTACAGAAAATGCCATCTGCCTCACAGGATGACTTTAAGGGATGAGTGGATTTGGCCCCGTGGCTGAGCCCTGTGCAAGTGTCGGCTGTCCCACCTTATCCACTGCTCTCTGCCACATCAGGCACCTGCCAGCACAGAGAGGCATTGGCAGCAGGTTAAGGTTGTCCAGAGTATACACCTTAGCAGTTTATGTGCATGTCTGTGTGTCTCTGTTGTGAGGAAACAAAATGGTAAGAACACTAAATGACTGTACTTACTGGTGCCTGTGGGAAGGAGAGAAAGCCAAAAATTGGGATTCTTTTTAAGTTAAGACAGAATTTCTGTAACAGGGTGTGAACAACAATACATTCCTACTGAACTTCTTTTAGATCATGGTCAAACATGGACAGATTTATTCTTAAAACAGTTATTTCTATGAGACAAGTTTTACTCTTTGATTGTGAGTTCTTTTACCTGATACCTTATTTTTTCTCTTCTGAGTTTTGTTTTCTTTTTCATGGAATTAAGGATCTTAGACTCAGATAAATACTGACATTGAGAATTTACACATTAGCTGGGCCTATTGCCTGTAGTTTACATATGAGATTCAAGCCCTAAAGAGAGTAACCGATTTATACCAGCCACACTGATTTTGAATGACTCCAGGGCCGGGATGGGAGTTTTCAGCATTTTTTCTCAGTGTGGCCTTTTGGACATGAGGCTGGTGATTGCTCTGATCCGCAGCTCCCTAAAGAAGTGATAAAGGTTTACATGGGACTTCAAGTCATAGTAATGATCTGCAGGAAGAAGGAAATGGTGACCAAAGACCGATGGGTGGTCCAAGGTCAGTGAAAGAGAAAATGGGGTGAGCGAGGCCCAGAGCAGGCTATTCCCAGCCGGCGGAGTGACTCTGTGCTGGGAATGGAGGGAGGGCGAGGCCGAGCACTGGACGCCCGCCGGCTTTGCGCTCTGCACACGTGCTGAGCGGTGTAGCAGGGAGCAGCTGAACACGCAGGGCTGGCATCTTAGGCAAGTCTTTCTATAATTGTGGTAAAATGCCTGTGACGCACATTCATTACCGTAACCATTTTCAAGTGTACAGGTGAGCTTTTGGTCATAATATTTGTGTCTTTTCCATTCTTCCAGCTTTAAAATTTCCATTTGTGTAGAGAAACCATTCTTCTAATTGACAAGGAAGTACTGACGCTGAGACCACAACAGCTGTTGCCTTGAAGTACATAGTTCATTTTCAGCGCCCCTCTTTGCCCCACCAGGCACCTGTCTACCTGGATGATTCTGTTTACTGAAAAGGATTACACTGAAAATTGCTTGCTTTCAGGCTAGCCTTACCAACACTGAGGTCATCAGAAGCTGCAGAGATGGGATTAATGTGCTGTTGTGTTGTTTTCTTTAGTGATGTAAACACTGTTTTCCCCTCTTCTTCCAAGCTAATTAGCCTCACTCCCAATTTTGCTACCCATAATTGGTGGCTGTTAGCTGTACAAATATTATTTTCTTCCATGACTATTTATGGTATCCTAGAAGGTGACCATGGGGTTGCCTGTGGCATTGAGCAAGTCCCTTCATTCTCTGAGCTCCCCTTTCCTCTGTAAACACAAACTAGACAGTCCAGAAATCTCCTCCCAGCTGACACCTTTGTGGTCCGTTAAGAAATGTCACCTGGAGGATTCAGCCTGTTTTGTTACCTATTTAGACTCAGGCTAATGGAGTGGAGCCTGAAAAGAATTCCTTTTACTTTTTGGCAGTCCAGGCCCTGTGATTGTAGTGGCTTTTTCTCCTGTAAAATAGTTACCGTTCTTGGTTCCCAGCTTTCTTTCTGCTGCCACCTGTGACCTGATGATCCCATTAGGTGTCTTCCTCTTCTCAAAGGCCCCCCGGTGAAGCCCGAGCACTGACTTGGGGACAGACTGGCTTCGTGGGCATCGGCTATGCAGCTGCACAGGCTCTTAAGGGCGGATGTTCCGTGCGCTGCGGTGCTGTCTTGAAATTCATAATAACTTTTGAACAAGGGGCTGATTTGGCATTAGTCCCTTTGACTTATGTGGTCAGTCCTGCCCCAAGAATCCTTCCCAGAAAATATCATTTCCCTATTTGCAGTTTTGTTACTTATCCAGAAATGACATCTACTACCTATTTGTACTGGGAATAAAATGGGAATTGCACTGTACTTGAGAAAAAAGTGTGATGACCAGTCAAACCTCTCTCCTTCAGGAATAGGTGATTATGTTGTCCACACAGGTCTTCTGAAGGGAAGAGCCGAGGACCTGAAACCGGACCCTTATCTCCGCAAGAGTCCCTCACTGGAGTCGCTGAGCAGACCCCCTTCTCTGGGCTTCGGAAGCACTAGACTGCTGAGCACTTCCACCGGAGGCTTGAGACCACAAAGCAAACTAAGGTACCATGTTTTAAACAGTGAGGAATTAGAAAGGCCCTGGGCCAATAGCCTTGTATTCTTCCTTCTGTTTTATCCCTTATGGTCAATTTACTTCTGCACATATTTCCTGAATGAAAACGATGAAGACACGTGCCTGCCTTCAGCAGGAGAGCAGGGCTCCGCGGTAGTGCTGTGCGGAGTGACGTGAAGGGCTGTGGAACAGGAAGGATGGGCAGTTCTTGGGGGTGGTTGGCTGGATCAGCACGTCTCCCCTGGGGGAGGAAGCAGCGTTTCTGCCCGCGACCTGCAGGTGTCCTGAGGAGCTGGGCTGGAGCTCAGGGACACGTGGTGGTTTAGTCTGGCCTGTGGGCTTTAGTAGGGTGGGGAGTCTGGCGTGTGTGTAGCAGGCTTTCCATCAGTATTGGCTGGGAAGTGGGTACTGAGGGTTTCGCACCTGGAAAGGCAGGCTGGAGCCACAGTGCGAATGTTCTTCATGGCCGGCGTGAGGTGCTGGCGCTGGCTTGGCACAGCAGTGGGGACCCACTGAGTGCAGAGTTCTGTCTTGGATGTGTAGTGGTGGTGGTACAGCAACAGTGGCATGTGAGAAGGGCTGGACGGCATTTCTAAGTTGTTTAGGGAGAACTTCAGCAGCGGGCGAGGGATGAGGTGGGAGGGAGTGGAGGGCTGCTGGGGCGGCACTGAAGGCCTGCCTCTGCTCTCACGTCTGTGCCACCGCCTCCCTCTCCAGTGCTCCTGGGGACCTCTTTCAGCTATTCCCCAGCCTCCGTCCTTCCTGCTTCTCCCACAGGAGTCAGTCTTCTAGAACACTGTGCTTCCTGTGCCGACCGTATCAGAAACCTCCCCGACTCTGTTGTCCACGCTTCCGGCCAGTCTTCCAGATTGCCCGCAAGTTAGCCCCACCCCAGCCCATGTGCCAAAGTAACTCATCCCCCCTACGGCAAAGCCTGTTCTGTGCTCTGCCTTGCAACCTAATGCAAGTGTTTCTGACCGCTGACAAGGTTCTGGCCGAAAGTGCCTTCCTGTGTCCTCTCAGGCTCCTAAAGACTGCTGCTCCTTCCAGCTCACGCTGTGCGTGAGGCTTTGCCAACTACCCTGGTAGCATCAACTCCCCCTTTCTTTGCCTTTGGCATCTTCTGCTCACTTGGGCATTTGATTCACTGTGCACGGTGTGCATGCATTCACCCTTATTTAGGCTGCAGTTTAGCGGATGCTAAATACTTAATCTTATTTCTTTATAACATTCTCAACCCACTGTGTTGTGCAACACTCATAGCATTTCACTTAGTAAATATTTAAGGATAGGTAGGTAGATGAATGTACAGAATTGGCTGTCTTAGGAGAATGGCTTTTTAACAGCCATTACAACTGCCATTATGAATACTATAAAAGAGTTTTGTGAAAGTCTGAATAAGTTCAGCTCTTGGCATATCTTTGGGCCCAAATAAATGAAGTCATATCATTCAGAGGTTTGATTTAAAGCTCCAGGTATTACATATCGGTCTTGTTTATGTGCAAGAGAGTTAAATAATCAAAAGAGGTGTTAACGACCAAAATTTGTGGTACTCTAAAATTGCTCTTTTATTTTTTTCTTTATTTTTTCACATCGCTCTTCTCTTTATGCCATATATCATACAGAAAGGCTATGTGTGTATTAATATGATATTTATACTGTACCCTTAATCATGAAAGCTTAAATCAGTGAAATTTGTTACTTATATTTATGTCATCAAGACAAACCAATGGTAGAATAGAAGTTACTTTAGAAATTCTCATCCTATTATAGTTTTTTCAATCATATCTAGTTAACTCTATTTTTTAAAGAAAACTGTTTGATAAATGTTTTAGTCATCCATTTATGCACAAACACTTTCCCAGACATTCATTCCAGTCCTGCCTAGTTTGTCAGGCCTAGACATGCAGCTCTCAGAAATGAAATAGCCCAGGCCAGGCACAGTAAACACAGGCAGAATCCCCATAACTTTGTAGTTAACAGCAACTCTGACCACAGAAACTCATGGGTTCAAGTTTACAGATATGTCAGTTAGAAGGAAAGGCAGTCATCAGATTATACAAGAAAAATTTTAATTCAAGTATAAAGTTTATCTTAAAATCTCTCTACCTTGATTCAGGTTGCCAAGGTCTAGAATCATCCCATTACTCCTTTTAAATCATTTAAAATATTTTTATTAAATGTTGGATTGATGCAAAATAATAATAAAATATGTGTAAGGTAAAAGGAATATTAAACCAATGGAGAGCCACCTGGACACTTCACCTTCTAGTTTAAGGAAAAGAAAATTAACAGCTGAAATCTCCCGTCAGCCCCTCCCATATGCATCACCTCCCTGCCCCTGCCTTGCCCTCCTACGAGGTCACTGCCATCCTGAACTTTATATATGTGTTTCCTTGCTTTTCTTTACAGTTTCACCCCATGTTATGCATACCCAAACAATATAAATAATATAGTAATTAAATTGCATATTTTGCCATTTATTTTTAATTCTCACCCGAGGATATTTTTATTGATTTTTAGAGAAAGAGGAATGGAGAGAGAGAAACATCATCAGTCAGTTGCTTCCCCTATGCGCTCTAACCGGGCATCTAACCCACACCTTTTGGTATACGGGACAATGCTCCAACCAAGCCACCCATCCAGGGCACATTACAGTTTTGTACAGATAGAAACATTGTGGGGGTTTTTAATTCAACATTGTTCCTGCTACTCATTCAAGTTATTGCATACATCTGTAATTCATTGGTTTTTATTGCTATATAGTATTTTACTGTATGAACTTACCACTGTTTATCCATTTTCCTGATGATGTACGTTTGGTTGTTTTCAATTTTTGCTGTTATAAAAAGTGCTGCTGTTGGCAGTGAAAATGGCACTGGTTACCAGCAATTGGACTTGGGTTCAGCAGCCTCAGTATACTTGGGTTCTGGCTAAGAAAGAATTCAGAGCCAAGACTCAAACTGTAAGAGAAAGTTTATTTAGAATGTCACAGAGGTAGAAGAAGTGAGCCGTAGAAACAAGTTACAGAGGCAAAAGAAGGGCCCTTGGAGCTTAGGGGAGAGAGGCAAGGAAAACCACCTGGGAGAAGGGGGTGGGGAAAGGTGCAGGTGGCCTCCATAGAGAGCCCTGCTGGGTGCTCCATCTTAAGGGCTTTTAAGGGCAGGAATTTTAGGGGAGGTCCTAGGGGAGGATCTGGATAGAATATTCATCAGCTTTCCAGGTATTTCCTTTCAGGGTCATGGTCTCCACTGATTGGTTGGCACCAGGGCAGGGGGCATTAGTCATTGCAGTTGGTCCTGAGGTCAGCCGTGGCATCATTTGTCTGATTTTGCTGTTTTTCTGGGCCTGGAGCTGAACCATAACTGTAGCCAAGATGTTATCCCTAGGGGTTAATGCTTAAGGGAGTGGTCAAGCAAGGGCCCACATGGGAGTTGCATGAGGTCACTCTCGGCTTCTTTTCCCTCCTCCAAGGGGATCCTACTGCATGATTAGGGACATGCCAGGGGAGGAAGGGCAAGGGGAGAGTCCGAACCACATGACCAGCGATATGAAAGGTCAGGGGTCTAAACTGTATAACCAGTGATAAGCTAGGGGATGAAAAGTTACCCTGGGGGCAAGGTCCTTATTTTTCCAGGTTTGCCCATTGCTAGGTACCCAGGGCTTTCTGCCCTGATGACCTTCTGTACCTGGCCCATTGTCCTTGCTCTGCTCCTGTCTGTCTAACTGCTGACCACACTGCTGTGAACATTCTTGTGCCCCAGTGATGTATTCACCCAGGAGTACGTCCTGCTGCTCTTGCGCCCCGGAGATGCCCTGCGCTGTTCTTGCTCCGTCCCTGGGCCCCTGCAGGCAGGGCAGGGAAATGCAGGCTGCCCCAGTGGGAGGGGAGTATGATTCTTTCATGGCATTCATCGTGGAAGAAACCGTGTGGTCTGGATTGGTTCCCTTTTTAGTATTTGGATAATTTTAGGTAGCATAAAAATTAACATAGCTGTTTATAGAAAAATTGAAGATGGGCACTTAAACCCTTGCTGCTGGAATGCCATGGTGTTTAGCAAAATCATTTCCTTTGGCTGAACGGGGACTCAGAACTGAGTTGATGAGCTGAGGAGTATGAGTATCACCTTTGGAATGTGCAAAGCCCCCCTTTTGAGTCATTTTTACTGATTTTTGCCTTTCCACTTCCATTCCCATGACCTCCCCAATAAGCAGCCAATCTAATGTTTTTAAAGTGCACTTCTAACCTACCTTTGTATGATGTGTAGATATAGGTGTGGCCCTAAGACGTGCTTTTTTCTATATGTGTCTTAATTAAAGTGATACTGTACTTAAGCAAGCAAATAAAAGGCTAGGTGGCTAGAGCAACATATGGATTTAAAATTTTTTTTAAAAACACCTATTTCTAGACTTCTAATAGCCAAGAAACACGATCTCATTTTTTTTTCATTATAAAAATGAAACATTTTAAAATGTTGAGACATTATAAAAATGTATTGCTAATGGGACTGGTTTGGTTGTTTTTCTTTAGAGTCTTTGGAATGGCCTAGACTTTTGCTTTTCTAATCTAATTATTTCTTATATATTTGAGGGTTCTAAAACCTAGCCTCCTCTCTTTACTGTGTGCTCTTCTCTTCAACTAGTTTGGAAAGAAGAGATCCTCTGGCTGCCTTAGCCCGGGAATACGGTGGCTCGAAGCGCAATGCTCTCCTGAAATGGTGCCAGAAGAAGACAGAAGGCTATGCGGTAAGAGACGGTGTCAGTGTGTGTTCCGTGTGCCCGTGCTCAGGTAGGCCAGTGGCACGTCCTTGTCATCTTCCAGGGCTGCCAGGCAGAGTTTGCTTTTGTGCGCGGCACAGAAGTGTCCAGACAGAGAGGCAGGTGGAACTGGAAGCCGGTCTGTGCTCCATCCAGCAGATGCAGACTTCAGTGCAGAAGGGCTGTGGGAAGGGCTCCTCTGCTTTGCTCAGGGGAGATGTGAACTCCCCGCCAGTGCACCCAGCAGGCTGCTTTGACCTAAGGACACAACTTTTGTTGGATCATCTTCCCAAAAAGAGTGCCTTTTCCTAATTCACATGAAGGTCCCACAGAGCTGAGCTCTCAACTTTCCTTGATTGCTTTAAGAGCTGTTTGCATTTAGTTTAGGAATTTCAGTACCGGGACAGGGTTTGTTTTCTGTGAAAGTTAGACAAGAAAGTAATATCTAATATAAGTTTAAATCATTGTATCAAATATAAATATAGTTTCACAAACCGTGAAGTGAAAACCCTGCAGTCACCACTCACATGCAGAAATCGAGCACTGCTGGCCCCACAAACCTCGCAGGCGACTCTGATCACAACCCTCACAACTCCCAGGCTCAGCTGTTGCCCCCAATTATCCCTTAGAGCTTCCTACAAAGGTATGCATCCCTAAAGGGTGAGCTAGTTTTGCCAGCATTTGAACTTTATAAAATGATATTTAAAACTGTAATATTTGCACCTGGCTCCTTTCACTCAGTATTAAGATTTCTCCCTATAACTTGTTGCATATAGCTTTAGTCTTATCCATATCCACGTAAACTATAGATTGACCCTTATTTCTGTTGCATAGAGCTACAGTTTGTTCATTTTCGTCACCATTTAGTAGCCTGTTACCATATGATTATATCATCATTTACCCATCCATTACTGATGGATGGATGGTTATTTCTAGCCTGGGGCTATTATAAATAGTGCTGGTGTCTCTTGCACACGTCTTTGGAACACATGTGCTCATTCCTCCTGGATCTGTCACTGATGGAATTGCTGGGTCAAGAGGTTTGCATATATTCAAGTAAGTGTAGTATGTAGTGGCAAACATTTCTGAAGCAGTCATACCATTTACCTCCCAACAGCAATTTGTGAAAGATCTCTTTTTTAAAAATATTTGGTGGTGTCATTTTTACTCCTGTCGGATGGGTATGTGGTGCGCTCTCACTGGGCTAGGACCTACTTTTCTCACCTGGCGAAGGGTGGAGTACCTTCTCATGTGCTCCCTGGACACACGACTAGTCTCTTCTGCATGTGCCTGCTCAGGTCTTCTGTACATTTTTAAAATCAGTTGTCTTTCTTTTCCTTATTTCTTTCAAGAGTCCTTTCTACATTCTGGATACAAGTCCTTTGTAAATAGGTATGTAACTGCAGATAACTTCTCCTGGGTGGCTTGAATTTTTGCTTTTTTTGTTGAACAAAGTTCTTAAGTTTAATTAAGTCTAATTTATCAATCCTTTCTCTAATGGTTAGTGCTTTTTGTATGCTGTTTAAGAAGTTGTTGTCTATTACAAGGTCATGAAAATATTTTTCTGTGTTTTCTTCTAGAAGCTGGATTATTTTACTTTCCCATTGAAAAGACACCCTCTTTAAATAGACACCCAGTCCCTTCTCACTCATCCCAGTGTTCCTGTACCTTTGCCCCATTTTGTTAAAAATTCTAAAAATGCAGGCACCACAATTCTCCTTTCCCAGCCTTGAGTGTTTAGGGTGGTAGGGTCAGAGGAAGAAAGAAATGAGCATGAAAACAGGCCCCGCAGGGCTGGGATTCTCTTGGTAGCAACAGCAGCCAAGTGTCTTAAAATCAGACTCTACCCAGGGACAAACATGTCTTGTATCTGTATCTTTTACATTACCTTCTTTTCACTTTCTGTCAAAAAAGAAAAAATGTTAGTCATGTTAAGGGCGCATGATAGAGGCTCTCAGAGCACAAACCTGCTTCTGACCCGTCGTTTTTCCCTTTAGCTGCCCTGTCCATGCTCTGCTGCCGAGGAGGAATTATTCAGTAGGCTGCTTCTAGTCTGGCAGAGAAAGTGATGCTTCCAGCTGTCGAGATTTTTTTGTTTTGTTTTGTGAACATCTTAAACAAGTTTTCAAAGCATTTTATGTTTGATAAAACCCAAAACTCATTTTGCCTGAAGAGTAGTTTTCATTCATTGTTAAATCTCTGTAAATTTAGAGATAAATAGAAATCACATGTATCTGATTTACTCTTCATAAAATAGCCTCTGTCCAGACCTATCTGTCTAAGATGCTTCATAAGCTCCTAAATCTCATTCTTGCGGACTTAGGAAGCCAAAAGTAAATCGTAGAAAACGCAGATGGTTCAGTCTTTTTGAAAATCAGTAGCCTCGTGCATTTCTTCTTTTATCCCACCAGTGAATATCGTGATAGATTATGTCAAAACTCCTTATGTTAACTTAATGAATTTTTATCGAGGGGCTTATTCGGGGCCAGGAAATGTTTCAGGTGCCAGGAATCAGCGGTGGTGACGGGCAAAACCTCTGCTCTCACGGCATTTACCTCCTGATGGGGGCAGCCAACCAATTAAAATAAAAAGTAAAATGTGTGCTGTACCAGACATGGTATGTGCTGCAGAGAAAAGTGAAGCAGGGGCGGAGGATGGGGGGTGCCGCTGTGCAGACACGTGAATTTGGGCGATGGCTCAGCTCACCCAAGGAGGTGAGGACTGTGTGTTCATCACGGTCTCTCTCACCAAGTGCTGGGCCGGAGCAGTCAGCAAGAAGAGGTCGTCATATAGCAGCCGTGTCAGCTGGAATCTAGCCAACAGGAGGCGGCCTCCCACTCGGCAGCACCGAGAAGTCAGGGTGGGGCCGACCCGAGTGCCGAGCCCAGGCGCAGTCTCCGGTGTGGTGTCTTGAGGTGGCCCCGGAGTGAGACTGAGAGGAGACGTGAGCCTGCGCTCTCTCTGGGGTGAGGTCCGCTCTCAGGTGAATGGCCCCCCTTGGAGAGGAGACCCACTCATCTCAACTCAGAGTCCCTTGGGTCTCACCTCAGAGTCCCTTGGGTGTTTTTTGGGAAAAGCCAGACTTCCAGGAAGGCCCTGCAAGTGGCTCTCAGTCCCGGGCTTGTTATGCCTGTTCACTCTTCCTCTGACCAGGGGCAGCCCTGACCCACGGCCCCTGCGTCTCCCCCTTGGTCTGCTGTTAGCTCCTCTGGGGTTAGGACAGAGGAGCCTCCTGCTCTGGTGTCAGGGCTTCGAAGGGGCAGAAGGCCAGGGCGCATATGACAGGTAGAATTCTGTGAGACCCCAGATAGCCCCCGTCCTGTGCCATCTACGTATGGCAAATGGTTATCTGGGCAGACCTAACACATGGACCCTTTAAAAGCCAAGCGTTTTCTCTGAAGCGTAGGAGGACCCAGCGCACTGTTGGTGGGTCTGAGCTGGAGGGAACACGTGAGGGACGGAGAAAGGCCCCTGGCTGATGGGAATCTGCGGCGCTCTGGCACTAACCCTTTAATGCTGAGGCCCTGCGTGGAGGGAGGTGGATGTGACAGTGACAGGTGGAGGTGTGGTGCCGCAGAGTCCCTCTCACTCCTCTCCCTGGCCTGATGCCCTCACACCTCAGCTGAGGGACGCTGGCCTGTAACAGCCTGGCGAATGGGTGGAATTAGGTCCAAGTCTCTGCAAGTCCTGGTACCTCCCAGGAAGCATGGCTAGGTGAGGCCACCCACGCCTCTGCAAGTGGCATCTTGCTGGGCTGTGTTCCAAGGGCCTGCCTTCCTCGGACTACGTGGCCACACGGGTGATTTATTTGGTCGAGGGCATAGGTAGGGATTACCTACATCTCGCCTACCTCTATAGAGCTAGAATTCGTAATTTTTAGCAGGTTTTAGTAGACTGAGTTTTAAGGTTTTAAAGGCCTTAGGTTTCAAGTGTTAAAATTAGAATGTGAGAGCAGTATTATAGCAGAAGGAAGTATGGAAATGATATCCCTGTTGCCTCATAGTGAAAACATAATTTGAAAATAGTCTGGCTGGAAATGGCGAAGTACTTTAATTGCTCTCATCGTAAGCCACCATTTTAGTTTTTCTTCTCTGGGTAACAAATTACCACAGACGCAGTGATTTAAAACAATACTGCTCGCCCAGCCGGCATGGGTCAGTGGCTGAGTGTCATCCCATGAACCTGGAGGTCACTGGTTCAATCCCCGGTCAGGGCACATTCCCAGTTGCAAGCTCGATCCCCAGTGGGGGGCGTGGAGGAAGCAGCCGATCAATGCTTCTCTCTCATCGATGTTTCTCTCTCTCCCTCTCCCTTCCTCTCTCTCTAAAATCAATAAAAACATATTTAAAAAACAAAAACCCTGTTCAGGAGTTCACAGTCCTTAGGTCAGAGTGCAGCCTGGCATGCCTGTATCCTCAGCTCAGGGTCCCACCAGCTGAAATGAAGGTGTCACCTGAACAGCATTCTCAGCTGAAGGCTGTAAAAAAGGAGCCACTTGAATCTACTTCCACACTTCGGAGTTCACTCAGGGTATTGGTGGAAATCATCCTTTTAAATTAGCCCGATGACCTTTACTGAACCACCAGTGTGGCATGTAGTCAGGGATGGCAGACCCTCAGAACACAGCCCAGCAAGGTGCCACCTGCGGAGGTGTGGGTGGCTGTACCTAGCCGTGCTTCCTGGGAGGTACCAGGACTTCCAGAGAGTTGGACCTAATTCTGCCCGTTCACCAGGGTGTGTTACAGGCCAGCATCCCTCAGCTGAGGTGTGAGGGCATCAGGATAGGGAGAGAAGTGACAAGGACTCTGCAGTACCACTCCAGTCGCTGTCACCTCCACCTCCCTCCTCGCCGTCTCCTGGGTGTAAACAGGACCTCAGCAGTGGTGCTCTAGGGCCAGAAAGTCCCAACTGGCCCGTGCACGTCATGGAGAATGAGGTTCATAGTCAGATTTGGGTTTACAGTGCCCCCCCCCCCCATCCTTGGATAC